CTGCACCTGGGGAGAAATAACCCCCTGCACCAGGACAGGTTGGGGGCTGACCTGCTGGAGAGCGGCTCTGAGGAGAAAGACCTGGGAGTCCTGGTGGACAATAGGATGCCCATGAGCCAGCAATGGGCACTTGTGGCCAAGAAGGCCAAGAGCATCCTGGGGGGCATCAGGTCATCCTGGTCCTCTGCTCTGCCCTGGGGAGGCCCCATCTGGAGCACTGGGTCCAGTTCTGGGCTCCCCAGTTCCAGAAGGACAGGGAACTGCTGGAGAGGGTACAGCAGAGGGCTACAGAGATGATGAGGGGCCTGGAGCATTTCTTTTACGAGGAGAGGCTGAGGGACTTGGGGCTTTTTAGTCTGGAGAAGAGAAGGCTGAGGGGGAATCTGATCAATGCTTATAAATACTTAAAAGGAGGGTGTCAAGAGGATGGGGCCAGTCTTTTTTCAGTGGTGCCCAGGGACAGGACAAGAGGAAATGGGCACCAACTGGAATAGAAGAAGTTCCACCTAAAGATGAGGAGGAACTGCTTTTCCATTGAGGGTGGTAGAGCCCTAGAAGAGGCTGCCCAGGGAGGTGGTGGAGTCTCCTTCTCTGGAGACATTCAAACCCCACCTGGACACGTTCCTGTGGATGATCTCCAGGGGTCCCTTCCAACCCCACGTGATTCTGTGACCCTCTTCCAGGGGAGCATCTCCACTCCCTGTGCCTGAGCTCGCAATTCTCCCGGTGGGAAATGCTGTCCCTCTCCCCATCCTGGACACGTTCCCCCCCACCCACCAACCTGGTCTGGTGGGAGGTGTCCCTGCCCAGGGCAGGGGGGTTGGTACTGGGTGATCTTTAAGGTCCCTTCCAAGTCTGACCATTCTCCGATTCTATGCTTAAAAAGCCATGATCAGGAAGAGGGATTTTTGGCTGACTGACCATCCCAGTTAGTGAGGGAAAGGTGGCAATGTTTTTGAAGATCATAATGGGAAATTGTGAGTTCCTCTCACCAGTAAATACCAATAATGAAATGCAGGAGCATGGGGTTCCAGAAGGATGTCAGACTGTCCTGTTGGAGCTCATTCTCTGTGTTGCTGTCAATCACTGTTGCTGTCAGTGTGACACAGTTATGTTCATCACAATTCAATATAAAGGGAGTCCTTGTAGTAGTTCCACAGTTCAAGAGCAGTTGCTGCTTATTCTGATTAATTATATGCCCAAGTAGATTCAGATTTATAACTTATCTGCCAGAGGGTTGAGTGACTCGGGGGGAGGAGGGATCACAGAGTGATCAGTTCTGGGAAGACCATGGGGCAGTTGCTGTGGGATTTGGCTGAAGCGTTGGGAGGTGTATCGTTCTGATGACTGTGGATTGATCCTGTCCTGTGGAGATCTGCAGGGATTAGCGTGAGAGCCACTGCTGTCCAGTACTGGCACTGAACACCTAGTGTTGACACAAATCTGGGTGATGGAGGGATTGGTTAAATAACGGATCAAAAGAGGGTCATCAGGGACAGCCGAGCTGCCAGGGAGCAGACTTTTAAAAATTGAGTGCTCTTGTGCTGCAGATCATAGAATCATAGAATGGTTAGATTGGAAGGGACCTTAAAGATCGTCCAGTTCCAACCTCCCTGCCCTGGGCAGGGACACCTCCCACCAGACCAGGTTGCTCCAAGCCCCATCCAGCCTGGCCTTGAACCCCTCCAGGGATGGGGCAGCCACAGCTTCTCTGGGCAACCTCTTCCAGTGTCTCACCACCCTCACAGGAAAGAATTTCTCTCTGGTATCCAATCTAAATCTCCCCTCTTATAATTTAAAACCATTCCCCCTTGTCCTGTCACTGCACTCCCTGACAGAGTCCCTCCCCAGCTCTCCTGGAGCTCCCTTCAGATATTGGAAGGCTGCTTGAAGGTCTCCCCGGAGCCTTCTCTTCTCCAGGCTGAACAACCCCAGCTCTCTCAGCCTGTCCTCACAGCAGAGGTGCTCCAGCCCTCTGATCATCTTCATGGCCCTCTGCTGGACCCGTTCCAACAGGTCCATGTCCTTCTTGTGTTGAGGACTCCAAAGCTGGACACAGAGCTCCAGGTGGGGTCTCAGGAGGACAGAGCAGAGGGGCAGAATCCCCTCCTTGGCCCTGCTGGCCACACTTCTCTTGATGCAGCCCAGGATGGGGTTGGCTTTCTGGGCTGCCAGCGCACACTGCCGGCTCATGGTGAGCTTCTCGTCCATAACCACTCCCAAGTCCTCCTCAGGGCTGCTCTCCAGCCATTCTCTACCCAACCTGTACTTGTGCCTGGGATTGCCACGTCCCAGGTGCAGGACCCTACACTTGGCTTGGTTGAACTTCATGACAAGTCAATTTAGACTCCAGAACATGTGTGCTGATCCCTGTGGGAAGGGTGGTGGTATTGTAGAAAGCACTGTTTCGAGAAAGGGTTGGAGTTATGGGTACAAGCTGTACCTGACCTAGTGAGATCTGCAGGGGGAGAAGAGCAGAGGGTTGGAAGGGGGTAGAGAGAGAAAAAAGAAGCTTTAAAGTGCCTTATTGGACATAAAAGAGCTGCTGAAGTGGGCAGAGCTGATCAGTATGCACATACTCTTCCCTGAGGACAAATACCAGGTACTAACAGGACTCCTGAGTGCCTCAGAGAGGAGGCATGAAGAGGTAATGAGTGGATCAGTTTGAATGAGGAGCGTGTTTTTACAGCAAGAACAACTGCCAGGTAGAATTGTAATCTTTCAATATCCTCAAATTAAGACTGGATATCCTTATGGAAGTTTTAATCTTTTGGAGATAACTTCTCTGTGCACCTAACTGCCATGGCTAGGTCAGTGCTGTGTGAAAAATTTAAAGATGTTCTGTCCTTGTCTTAAACATTTCAGCCTCATTCCTCTCTGTGGCTGGACTAGGGATGGTCAAAGTTAGTGCTGGTTAGAGATGATGTTAGCTAACCTTAGTCTCTTTGCAAACTTTTCCTTAGTACAACTGGTGTGATTGCTGTACACCATCTTCCTGGCTAGCACCCAGTCCTGCCCTCCCTGCCCTAGAGGTGGCCTCCTTGTCTTTGGCCACACTCCCTGCAGCTCACTCCTGACCTCACAGAATCAATCACATGGGGTTGGAAGGGCCCTCTGGAGATCATCGCGTCCAACCCCCCTGCCAAAGCAGGTCCACCCAGAGCAGGTTGCACAGGAATGTGTCCAGGTGGGGTTTGAATGTCTCCAGAGAAGGAGACTCCACCACCTCCCTGGGCAGCCTCTGCCAGGGCTCTGCCACCCTCACAGGAAAGAAGTTCCTCCTCATCTTTAGGTGGAACTTCTTCTATTCCAGTTTGTGCCCATTTCCTCTTGTCCTGTCCCTGGGCACCACTGAAAAAAGACCAGCCCCATCCTCCTGACACCCTCCTTTTAAGTATTTAGAAGCATTGACCAGCTCCCACCTCAGCCTTCTCTTCTACAGCTGAAAAAGCCCCAAGTCCCTCAGCCTCTCCTCATAAAAGAAATGCTCCAGGCCCCTCATCATCTTTGTAGCCCTATTTTCCTTTGTTTCCCGTATTGTTCCACCTCTGCACTGTTCTATACTGTTGCTGTACCATATAGCAAGCACAGGGTTGGGTTTTTTTTCCTTCTAAAAAAAAAGCCAAAACAAAAAAAGCAGGGGGAATAGATTTGGCCCTCAGAGAGCACAGTGCGTCAGACAGAAGGGTCTTTGGTAGTAGCCCATCTGTTCCCCAGGAGGGGTGGCCTAAATCTCAGGTACAGCACACCGGTGTCCACACAAGTCCTCGGGTACCACGGGGCTGCAGCAGCACAGACATTGAGTGTGGAGCACAGAGACTTGCAAAACACGGGAATGACGGTGTCACCTGTAAAACGTGTAAAAACGTGGCTGGCCCGTGCTCCCTGACACATAGTTCCTCACGAGTAGTCTCCACAGGAGTCCTGCTGCCAGCTCCTAGGCAGGAGGGAGGTCGGGGTGGCTGTGTCTCACAGGCACTGACTAATCCTTTGAAAAGCAGAAGTATCTCTTTTCACTCGGCCTCAGGCTCTTTCGTGGGTTTGTTGGGGTTTTTTTTGGGTTTTTTTTGTTTGTTTTTTTTTTTTCCTGGAAGTGCCTCTCACCATGCATCTCTCACCATGCTTCTCACCAGCTTTCCAGTATCTGAAGGGAGCTACAGGAGGGCTGGGGAGGGACTCTTTGTCAGGGAAGTGCAGTGACAGGACAAGGGGTAACAGTTTTAAATTGGAAGAGGGGAGATGTAGATTAGATCTTAGGAAGAAATTCTTTGCTGTGAGGGTGGTGAGGCACTGGAAGACGTTGCCCAGAGAAGCTGTGGCTGCCCCATCCCTGGAGGGGTTCAAGGCCGGGCTGGATGGGGCTTGGAGCAACCTGGTGTGGTGGGAGGTGTCCCTGCCCAGGGGTTGGAGCTTGATGATATTTAAGGTCCCTTCCAATTCTAACCATTCTGTGATTCTATGCTGAGTGCCCAGGATTTGAGGTTCTCAGGGTGGCTCTGCTGGATGAGGCTTCCTGAGGGGCTGCTGCCTCCCAGCTTCCCAAGTCGGTTCTGTGTGGTACCGTGCAAGGGAAGAGCTGAGTTCTGATGTCTGCATGGGAACATTTGCCTTAACTAAGTCCAGGATAAGAGTGGATTTAAGTGCTTTGGTTTATAAATAAACAGCGCTGTGGCCAAGGTAGATTTAAGCAGAGCTGGCAACAGCCCTGCTTTGGAAGGGATCTCTTTACCACATGGCCTGCTGTTGGACTTCCTGTCGCATGCTAATCCCTTAAGCCTGCTTTAGCTCTGTTAATTTTCCTTCTTCCCTTTTTTTTTTTTTTTTTTTTTCCTCCCCTCCGATGGGCTGCCTCGGCGCCGCGTGAATGCCAGTGTTCCTCAGCCAGGCTTGTGCCTGCAGCTGGGCCGAGCATCCAGGCTGCCTTCCCGGCACCGGGTACCATGTGGCAGGGCCCCAGGGATGGTGGTGCCTGAATGTGTCCCATTCTCTCTGTCTTACAGGCTCTGCAGTCTGCGCCTGAAGAAACTCACCGTCCTGAAAGAGCTGGACAAAGAGCTGAGCTCCGTGCTTATCGCTGTGAAGATTCAGGTAGGCTCCTCTTCTTGCTTGCTGCCCGACGGCAGCGAGCTCGTCCTCGTGCCCTCTGTGGAGTGCTGGTCTGCATGTCCCTTGCCTTGTGCCAACCCTTTGCTTCTGTCTCGAGGATATTTTGGCTCTCGGGCAGGTGGGAGCGATGGCACCAGGGCCAGCAGCAAGCTGCCTGGGGCTGGGTTGTAGCGGTGATGAATTTGGGTAGCCCTCTCGCTTCCCTGCCTGCCTCAGCCAAGGCCCTCTTCTCCAGCTGCTGTTTGGAGTTTGGCATCTCCCCACCCCACTGTTCCTAACCCTTTAGAATCATAGAATCATAGAATGGTTGGGGTTGGAAGGGACCTCAAAGATCATCAAGTTCCACCCCCCCTGCCATGGGCAGGGACACCTCCCACCAGACCAGGTTGCTCCAAGCCCCATCCAGCCTGGCCTTGAACCCCTCCAGGGATGGGGCAGCCACAGCTTCTCTGGGCAACCTCTTCCAGTGTCTCACCACCCTCATAGTAAAAAATTTCTTCCTGAGAGACCTCCTTTAGACAGGTCCAGCACTGGATGGTTTCTGGCAGTGCCCTCCATCCCGATCCCCTCCCTGGGGAATGAAGGGTGGGAAGGGAAGGCTGTAAGGGACCAGCGGCTCTGTGCATGACTTCTGATGACATTTGCACCCTGGACGATCTCACTGCTGCCCCTCCCTTTCTCCGTGCATCCTTGCCAGGCCTTGTGCCTCTACTCTGAACCAGGGAGATGTTCAGGGGGGAGGATCTTTGTCACCAAGGAAAGAGGGAATTTGCCACCGTCCAGGTATAGGCGATCCTCCTCCCTCCCTCTCCGCAGCTGGTGGTGAAGAGATGGGTCCCTGTGGGTGCAGGCACGTCCTTTCTACATTCCAAAAGACAGCGTTGAAGCAAGATGCCTCTTGAGTATGCTGTCCCCACCGCAGCTCCCCTAACCTAGCTGGGATCCCGGTGTCCTTCCTTCGTTCTTGTCAGCTGGCAGGAAAGCTGCTGATCCCATTGAAAGCGCGGTGGGGCGGGAGCTCAGCAGCTTTGCGCTCCCACAGAGCTCTTTGTGCCGCACACATTAGGATCTAAATCCTGGATTAGTGCTGGAAGCTGCAGTATTAGCGGAGCTCTGGGAGCCGGGGGTTGCCATCATGGCAGACCTGATCCACTTGCAGAGAAGACGCCGAAAGCGAAACGTGTGAAACCTGGGGCCTGGAGCGTGGAGAGAAGGAGGATGCCGTGGTCCACACGCTGGTGGTCAGTGTCCCACCTTGTTGGTCTTTGCACCACTGTGTGTATGGTGCCATTCAGGAGAGCTGAAAGGGGGTCCTGAGACCCCCAAGACCTGTGCCCCTTTGGCGGAGGCTTTAACAAGGGAACAACCCAGACAGGAGAGAGCAGAAACGTGGGACCAATCGACGTTGGGCCACGGGTGCCACCAGCACAGGACCAGGATCTGGGAACCAACTAGGGGCTGTGGGTCCCACGTGTCTGGGAGGGCTAAGCTGGTCCCTCACTCCTTTTATCTCCTGCACTGGCAGCCCAAGCTGTCTGTGCTTCTCTGGACTGGGGAACCCCGGGCTTTGGTGCAGCCCCCCCTTAACGCTTGGGCTGCCATGTGCTGAGCGTGTATGTCCTCAGCTGCCCCCTCTTCCGTGCACTGCAAATGTGGAAGAGGCTGCACGGCGCGACTCCAGCTCTTTCAAACAGATCACCCCCATCCCTGCCATGGGCCAACCTTGCACTCTGTTGGCAAAAGGAATTAACAGACCTCAGCAGTGACTGAGGCCAGAGGGGCTCTTTGCTGCAGAGCTCCTCTCCCTGCCTGGGAACGGAGGCTCCGTTCAGGGTCTTTAAATTAAACGTGGTCACCTCCTCTCTGTGCGGCCACATACCCTGGTGTAGGCTCTCTGCTAAGCTGGAGGAAACCGGAGGAGAACGCTTCTGCCCACGTTACCCTGTGGCTCGACGCTCATTGTGGGAGCGGGGTGGGTTTGTGTGCTTCCCCAGGCTGCTTCCACCTGCCTGACCAGCCACCTTGGCAGGGTCGGGGACTGCTGAGCCTTCCTGGAAGGCAGATGGAAGCTGTAGGCAGCTTCAGCACAGCCTGCCTACGGAGTGGCCTCGGATGGATCCATCCCTCCTGCTCTTCTCCTAGGTAACAGATGAGTCACGCTAGCAAGAAGCTGTTTGAAGGCTGCCCGGTGAGCGTTGCCATCTCCATCTTTTGGATGGAAACAGCTGATGCGTGTGAGCTGTGGAGGACCTGCAAGTTCCCAAGGGGGCAGCTGGGGGACCAGTGGAAAGGGGAGCTAGATTTTCTCGAATTTCAGTAGTAGCTCTGTTGGGTTAAGGAAGTTGCCTGTCAGGAAGTAGCTGCTCTAAAAGGCAGATTGCATGGAAACAAAGCTCTGACCCTGCCTGAGTGGGGCTGACAGTGAGACAACAGCCCCAGTGCTGGAGACAGTCTGCTCAATGAATGTACGGGACCCAAAGGATAGTGTAGACCTGCCTAGAATATCTGATCTGCTTCTCGCAGTGATCATGCCCTTCTGGTCTTAAAAGATGGCTTCCAAATGTGGCATGTGCTGTTATCTGCTCCTTCATCTGAGAAGACGGTTGGCAAAGGACCAAGGGAGCTTCCTATGTCTACAGAACATAGCCATTTCCCAGAGGTGATTTGAATATTTAATGTTCAGTAGCTTCCAGTGAGATAAAGTCTGAACTACTGTGAAAAAGGGGACTTATATCGCTTGAGTGGTTTTTAAACCTTTATCCCTTGTTATTTGCTTTAACAGACCAGGGATGTCGTAGAGCGTTTCCCTCTGTTTATTGTTCAGGGGTGGCTTTAAGAGATTCAGATGTGCCTGGTTTGGCTCCATAAAGGTGCAGATATCCATCTTGTCGTAACTGATTATGGTTTTGAAGGAAAATGCAGTGCTCCCTCTCGGCAGATAGACTTACTGTAATTCAGAAACACTCGGTCTCGAGCCATGAATAAAGGAAACAATCAAAGAAAGATTAAAACAAGCCCCAAGAGTGGCAGAACTTTCAGTTCCTGTGACAAGTGCTGTGGGAAGGATGGAGATTCTCCTGCAGCTGCTTGTGGGACGTGGCTGGTGACTCAGGTTCAGCCCTTGGTGCTGCTCTGGAGGGATGATGCTGGCAGCTCCTCCACAGTGGACCAGAATGTGTGCTACAAAACAGGCCAGGCTGAGAAGCTCCTTTGCCTCTGCCAAGCCTGCCTGGTGCCTCAGCCCTGCTCCCTGCAGGAACTTGGATTTTTTGTTCCTTCTTGCTATGCATGGAAGGTACATGCAGTTTTCTGTCTACACCTCACTCATGCTTTGTTTCTCATCTTTTTGCAGCCACTTGTAGGATTTTCCACTCCTGCCTGAGCAAACCCAGCTGCCTAAATCCCTAAATAACTACATTTGCTGATGATACTTAATGGGATATTCTCTCCCAAAATGCACTTTTAGCTTGAATTCTGGGTAGTACTTTGCTGTCTGCCTTGGCCTGGTCTCCCGTACTATCTATGTTAGTTCTCTCTCCTTTTCAGGTTTAGTATGCTCTTCTACCTTCAACCCTGTGTTTTAAACAAGACCCATCAGGACAGATTTATACCTGAAACTGAGGATCATACCTTGCAAACCAGACCAGGGCATCACGCACCTGTGTATAGTACTGAAAGCTCCTGTATGTTTTCAGTTTATTAGGTAGTGAACATCTGTGACCACAACCTCTCCCCATTGCTTTTCACTTCCTTGACAGCCCTTGTTGTCTGTGATCTTCACTGTCACAGTCTGATATTAAGTTTTCCTGTGCTACTGATGGTGATACTCAGCTGTTCTGCTGAGAAATTAGGTGTTGCCTGCCGTTACTGGAATTGCAAAACATCTGAGCTACATCAGGTGCTCAAGGCCATGTCCAGTTGAGGTTTGAATTCCTCAAGGGATGGAAAATCCTGAGTCTTTCTGTGTCCTGTCCCAAGGTTTTCAGCACTCACAAAGGAAAAAAAAAAAAAAGGAATCTCAACATCTACGGGTAATTTCCCATGTTCCAGCACATCCCTGTTGCCTCTCACTGTCCCTGTGCACTGCTGAGACGAGTTCAGGTCTGTCTTTGCACCTTCCTGCCAAGTGTCTGTAGTAAAGCACACCTTCAGTCTCTCTTTTTCCAGTTGAACAAACCCAGCTCACTTGATGTCTCCTTGTATGTCCTGTGCTCCAGCCCCTGACCATCCTGATATCTTCTGATGGACGTGCTCCAGTCTGTCAACGTCTGTCTTGTACTGGGGAGCCCAAACTGTCTCTGGAATCCAGTTGTGGTGTCACCAGTGCTGAATAGAGGGGAGGAATCCCTTTTCTCTGCCCTGTGTGTGTTTGCTGAGGCTGAGATTGGTGTCATTCCTGCCACGGGCTGATGTAGGGGTACAATGATGTCCCACAGGATCTCCCCCTCTGTCTTTCTGCAGACCCTGTCCTGCTGCTTGAGCTTCTTCCCAGGCAGCAAACTTGTAGAATGTCCTAGGGAGGGACTTTGCATTTACCTTTTGAACCTCATGAGGTTTGTGTTGACCTCAGAAACCCCTCTTAACTTTCAGTAGCAGGTAGTAGCCCCCAGGTGCTAGTTTCTAATCTGAGGTGGGACCGGGTTTCCTTTGGACTGCTGCATCTTTTTGACCCACCTGCTCACTGGTCCACGGTTTAAATTAAGGAGCGCTTACAAAAGCAAAATGATAACTGATTTTTGCAAGAACAGCTTTTCTGACCTTTCCTGTTGCTTCCCTAAATCAATGTCTCGGCTTGCTGGCCCATTCACGGGGAAGCAGGAGAAACTGAGGAACCACCAGGGGTTATTTTATACTTGTAGCTGGTCCCACAGCCCCGTGGGGACACAGCCAGCGGGCATGGGCCTTTTGGGGAGGGCCTGTGAGTTGTGTCACCCTGCAACTGAGAGAGCCTGGTACGTGCAGACAGCGTTTTTCATCACCAAAGTCTTTCAGTGTCCATGTCAGCAGCAGAGCAGTAGAGATAGTAAAGGTAGGACAGAAGTAAAGGAAAGAGTTGGAGCAGGCACTTGGTTAGAGTGTGTCTATTACTGCCCTCCTGAGGTAAAAAAATAATGGTATATGTGGAGAGATAAGGACTGTTGCCCAAGGAAAAGACTAGAGGAATCTTCTGAGAGACAAGCTGGGGACCCCTGTTTCCCTGGGACATCCTGCCTTGGTCCCAGCAGAGCCATCCTGGGCTATGGTGGGACAGGGATCTGCAGTGGGTGTGCCTGCTGGGGAGCAGAGATGTGCTCCAGGACCTGTCCCTTTCCTGGCTAGGCAGCGTGGTGGGACCCTTTCCTTGCCCTGCTGGTGCTGTGTGCATGGCTCTCTCTGGCTCCAGCAGCATCCTGCTCCACAGCATCCGATGGGCTCCAGGTGCAAGGACCCAGATTAAGCAGAGCAGGCTTGGGAGGAGCAAGTGCTCCCTGGTGGGTGGGCAAAGGAGAAGGGGCCTTTGGCCGCTCGGGAGGCTTTTGCAAAGCATTGATGTGTGTGTCTAAGGGGACTCTGTGAGATGGAACAGTGCAGAGTCAAAGCATGGGCTCTTTCCTTGTGGACTTGTGAACACCACTGATGCATGTGCGTGGTATGGTGGAGCGTGTGGCCAAGATGCTCCAGCTTAGCTGTGTGCGCCTCCCAATTTTGTTGTAGGGTTCAAAGCGAGTCCTGAGATCAAATGAATACGTCCTCCCACCTGGTGGCCTGATGGAGACCGAGCTGGAGCTGACCTTCTCACTGCAGGTACCTTGTGTTGCCTGGTCCCCTGGGCTCCCTGGTGCTCCCCTCACCTGGCGTTTCTCAGCAAGCACGGCTTTGAGGGCTCAGTGTGAAGGGGATGACCTCTGAGGAGGGGCCTCCTGTGGTTGCCCATGCTCAGATCATAAGAGCACAGACTCCTGCTGCTGGCCAGCCGCTCCAATGTCAGGGGGTATTTCACTAGGGCACGAGGATGTGAAGGATGATGCAGAGTGCAGGTGGCCTTTGAGGGCCACCTCAAAGCTCAGCAGGTCAGATCCTGCTGTACACCAGCACCAAGAAAGGGTTTCCTACCTGTGTGTCACGCTGAGCCCTGCCCTCATGCTGCCATCTTCCCCGTGCTTCCCTTCCCCAGTACCCACACTTCCTCAAGAGAGATGGCAACAAACTACAGATCATGCTGCAGCGGAGGAAGAGGTACAAGAACCGCACCATCCTGGGCTACAAGACCCTTGCAGTGGGCATCATTAACATGGCCGAGGTACAGGGGGCTGGGAATGGAGGGGAGCTTCGCATGGCCTCCCTGTGCCAGCACTGGGAAGAGAACTGGGCTGACTGGCAGATGCTGGGTGCTGCGAGCGCTCTGGCTTCTTGGCTAGCTATAGGACGGAGGGGGTGGGCTGCCAGCTGCCATTGTGTCACCCTGGCATGGTTGTTTTGGTTTTTTTTCTGTCTGCCTAGGTGATGCAGCACCCGACAGACGGCGGGCAGCTTCTGGGCCTCCACAGCAACATGAAGGATGTGAACATCCGAGTGGCTGAAATCAGCATCTACTCTTTGTCCAGTCAGCCGATTGACCACGAGGACGGGAGCGTCCCATCAGGTCCTAAAATCAAAGCTTCAGGTGCGTTAGCGCTCGTCACAGACCCGAGGGCAAGTGTTTGGGACAGGACGAGGGTAATGGAGTGCCTGCCAGCAATACCTGTCCTTTCACTGGAGCCATGACAGGCATCATGCTTAACTCCAGCATCTGCACTCTCTGCTTTCAGATCGCTCCCCAGACATCGATAACTACTCTGAAGAAGAGGATGACAGCTTCTCCTCAGAGCAGGAAGCCAGCGATGATGCTGTGCAGGGTCAGGTAAGGGAGGCCTGGCAAGGTGGCTTATGCCCTGGTCCCATTTCTTGACCAAGCGTCAGGGATTTAGGGTCTTGGTCACCCTGAGCCCTCTCCTCTCCCTTTTGAACGTTTGCCGTGGTTTCAGAGGGCAGAGAGTCATGATCCCTGCCAGCAGGAAGAACTGTGGGCTGCCAGAAGTTTTAGGAAGAACATTCTGGGTCTGAAAATAGTCAGAGGTGGCAAATCTATCCCAACCCTGTGATGAGCTGTGCCAGGGCTGTTTACTGTCCTCTTGTTGTGGTGGCTACGCTCGAGGCCAAAAAAGACTTATGGTAGCATGCTGATCAAGCACAGGGATAAACCCCTCTTCAGGGTCCTCCACATGTCCCACCTGTCCCACCATGATGGCTTAACACGTCATGACCCCGTGTCCCTGGGAGTTGTGCGAATTGTTGAGGCTGAGTGCTTTGTGTGAGCTGAGGTGGTGTGGCTTCTGAGCTAACGCTGCAGAGGGCAGAGCAGGAGAACAACACGTGGGTCACGGGGGGGCTGGTGAGCCCAGAGAGAAGAGTTTTAGGTTGTAACAAGGACTGTTGCAGGAGTCTCTCCTCTGAATCTTGCTGGTATATGTCCTTCTGGAGGGGCCTTGGGGCAAAGGCACTGGGGAAGAAGGTCTATGGGGGGCAGCGCTAAGGAGGGAGAAGAAGCTACACAGAGAGAGGTGGGAGAAGTGAGAAGCAAGATTCTGGGAGCAGAGTGAACCAAAGCTTTTCAAAATGTGGGGTAAGCGTGGAGCAGGGGAACTTCTAAGGAGGTGCTGCTCCCTGCACTCTGAGTTACTCTGATGTGCTGTGACCTTTTGCCTGCAGGATCTGTTTGATGAAGAGGATGACTTGAGGAAAACCAAGAAGGCGAGGAGGAAAATGATCCGAACCACATCAATGACCAGAGTAACACCAGCATTTACAATGTGATCAAAGGGATGGAAGGGATTCACTTCCTCCCCTCCATTCAGGGAGCAAGGGAGGCTTAGAGGGGTTGCTGGCACTGGTGCAGAGCAGAGGAGAGAGCCCTTGGCTCTGAGAAGAAGGGGCAAACCTCTTGCCATTAATGAGTTGGCTTGCTGCTCAGAGCCATAGCCCAGCTCCCAGTCTGTACTGTGTTCAGCCTGGCTTTGTATCAGTGACGATCTGTGTGCCACACAGTTTTGACTTGCTGCTGTGATGTGGTCTCTTCTCTTACCCTCTCTGAGGAAGGGAAAGTTTGGCACAAGGAAAGGGTGAACCATTAGCAGCTCCTCTGCCTGTCAGCAGAAGAGGGGAGCGATCCGGTCCCATTTCTTGACCAAGCGTCAGGGATTTAGGGTCTTGGTCACCCTGAGCCCTCTCCTCTCCCTTTTGAACATTTGCCGTGGTTTCAGAGGGCAGAGAGTCATGATCCCTGCCAGCAGGAAGAACTGTGGGCTGCCAGAAGTTTTAGGAAGAACATTCTGGGTCTGAAAATAGTCAGAGGTGGCAAATCTATCCCAACCCTGTGATGAGCTGTGCCAGGGCTGTTTACTGTCCTCTTGTTGTGGTGGCTACGCTCGAGGCCAAAAAAGACTTATGGTAGCATGCTGATCAAGCACAGGGATAAACCCCTCTTCAGGGTCCTCCACATGTCCCACCTGTCCCACCATGATGGCTTAACACGTCATGACCCCGTGTCCCTGGGAGTTGTGCGAATTGTTGAGGCTGAGTGCTTTGTGTGAGCTGAGGTGGTGTGGCTTCTGAGCTAACGCTGCAGAGGGCAGAGCAGGAGAACAACACGTGGGTCACGGGGGGGCTGGTGAGCCCAGAGAGAAGAGTTTTAGGTTGTAACAAGGACTGTTGCAGGAGTCTCTCCTCTGAATCTTGCTGGTATATGTCCTTCTGGAGGGGCCTTGGGGCAAAGGCACTGGGGAAGAAGGTCTATGGGGGGCAGCGCTAAGGAGGGAGAAGAAGCTACACAGAGAGAGGTGGGAGAAGTGAGAAGCAAGATTCTGGGAGCAGAGTGAACCAAAGCTTTTCAAAATGTGGGGTAAGCGTGGAGCAGGGGAACTTCTAAGGAGGTGCTGCTCCCTGCACTCTGAGTTACTCTGATGTGCTGTGACCTTTTGCCTGCAGGATCTGTTTGATGAAGAGGATGACTTGAGGAAAACCAAGAAGGCGAGGAGGAAAATGATCCGAACCACATCAATGACCAGAGTAACACCAGCATTTACAATGTGATCAAAGGGATGGAAGGGATTCACTTCCTCCCCTCCATTCAGGGAGCAAGGGAGGCTTAGAGGGGTTGCTGGCACTGGTGCAGAGCAGAGGAGAGAGCCCTTGGCTCTGAGAAGAAGGGGCAAACCTCTTGCCATTAATGAGTTGGCTTGCTGCTCAGAGCCATAGCCCAGCTCCCAGTCTGTACTGTGTTCAGCCTGGCTTTGTATCAGTGACGATCTGTGTGCCACACAGTTTTGACTTGCTGCTGTGATGTGGTCTCTTCTCTTACCCTCTCTGAGGAAGGGAAAGTTTGGCACAAGGAAAGGGTGAACCATTAGCAGCTCCTCTGCCTGTCAGCAGAAGAGGGGAGCTGCCCTGCCAGCAGGTTCTCCAAGCATCTCCTCGTCCCCATCTGCTTCAGCCCTGCAGGTCCCTGGGCACCTTCTTCCCGAGTTTGTTCCCCATCTTTTCTTGCTTGAAGGCAGCATTCCTCAACCAGATGGTCTGGGGAGAAAGGGGATTTAAATTGAGAGAAAGTGCTATTCCAGCTTGTACCAGAGAGAGTCTTAAGTCCTTGCACCCTCCCTCATTCCCAGATACAGCAGCTTCTTGCAGAGTCCAGATTTAGTCCAAGTCCTACAGGAAATATAAAGAGCAAGGCAGATCCTAGCTGACCTTGGGCCTGTGGACCCAGAAAGGAGCTGATGGCATGTTAAAGAGGGCAACCATGTCCTTTATGTTAGTCGTCTTGGAACGTGGTTTAATAATTTTGCTGATCTTTTTTCCTCCCTTGTTTTGTTTTAGCAACCAAACTTCAAGCAGAAATTTGTGGCTTTGCTGAAGAGGTTTAAAGTGACAGAAGAGGTAAGAAGTGGGAAGGCTGCCCCACCTGGCAGTTGTCTCCTGCAGATGTGCCAGTGTCAGGGTGCTGGTTCCCACTCACTGGGAGGGGAGCAGAAGACACGAGCTGCAGGTGCTCAAAGGTGTTACCGATGGTGGTGTGAGACATGGCCACCTTCCAAAGCCACCTGCCTCAAGAAGGCAGCTCTGAGCCTCACCCTCAAATCAAGCACTCCTTCCTGTTGGGGAGAGGGACCAGGGGCAGAAGGGTACTGTTGTGTCTTGGCTCTGTCCCAGGAGCTGGCATTGCAGGGACAATCCTGTTTGTGACTCAGAGTGGGCTAACATTAGCCTGGGGATAGCTGACCTTGGCTGGGCCTGCACTGAGTGGGCAGCACAGCCAGTGGAGGTCCTCACGGGTGTCTTAACTCCCAGTATCTGAGACTCCTTTGGATGTCACCCTCCTTTGGCCCAATGACAGTGTCACTTGCTTCTTCCACAGCCTGGATTTGGCTCCCTGAGGTGGGAACAGTGCCATGGTGTGCCTTGTGGCTGGGAGGGAGCTTGTACGTGCCTGACCCTGGATGCGGGTGACTCCATATCTCTTCATTTCCCTCTGGGCTTGGTCCCACAGGTCCTGGACTCTGACCCTGTAGACCAGACCCAGGAGGTGGAGGAAGACCTGGGCTTGCTCTATGACAGCCTGGAAGAGTGCAACAACAGCGACAGCGGTCCGGAGATTGAGGACAACGAGAGTGTGCACAGCACACCCAAGCCCACCCTGAGGTAAGGGTTGCAAGGAGTCACAGGCCACCAGCAGAGTCTATGAGACCTGGAGAAGTACCCTCTGACACTTTTCTGTTGCGTAGGCTAATGCAGGCATTGTCTTATTTCCACTCCCATCGCCATCTTCTGTTGGTATCCCTGAGCTACTCACTTGCATATCCTGTTTAATAAACTCAAAGCTGCCCGTTAAAACTGACTTTCCTTCACATTTAGTCTGATTTAATTTCGTGCCAGCCCATCACCTGACCTTTACTGATCTGCTGGAACTTACTTGTTCTAAGCCCCTGCTGTTCCCACCTCTCGTATCTTTCTGCTGACAGCCCTGGCCTTCTCAAGGCTCTCCACGCTGAAGCATGCCTGTCTTTTGAGCACTTTGTGACTGCTTGGGCCAGTCCTCATGTCCCTGTGAGATTTGCATGCTGTGTTCCCACCCTGTGTGGAGACATGTGACTACCAACCATCAGCGATGTTCCTCACCCCCTTCCCCAGGCACCCGGTGGCTTGATTTGCCCTGCCAAGCACTGCTGACTTGGCACAAAGGTCTCCAGTGGACCATGCAGTGAAACCAGGCTTTTCTCCCCCCGTAATCCACCCCCTCTTCTCTGCTCATGGCTGTTCTGTTTTCATGCTGTACTTTTGTGAGAAAGTTGCCTTTTATCATTTTTCTACTTGGTACTGGGTCTCTTCTAGCCAAGCCACGCTTACATGTCATTATTGTTTCTATAGTTCAGTATTTAAATATAGTTTGGATTAGCTGGAAGTCTCTGTGAAGGTACTTAGCAGGGGTAACAGACTTGGTCTGCCACAGCCAGACTGTTTGAAATTAAATCTGCTGGATTCGGGAACCCATGGGGAAGAAAAAGGAACATGGCAGAAGTCATGTTTTCCACAAACCTAGAAGTTGTTGTGAAGGAGACAGCAGGCGTGTGGGCAAGGGAGAGCTGCTTAGGTGGTCTGCTTAGACTCCAAAAAGAGTTTCACATGGTCTCTCACCAAAGGGAACAAAGGTGCTGTGGAGAAAAAGGAAGGTCTTTTTGTGGTCAGATAACAGTTAATGTATGTAAACTATGCAAAAAAAAATAATTCTACTGAGAGTATTTAAATACAAGACCCCACCTTCTGCAGGTGCCAACCTGCAAACATCTGGTCACTGGGAGAGCATCCCAGAGTAAGTGCTGTACCTGCTGCTACAGTCTTCCTGGGGTGTTCGGTGTTGTCTGTGGTAGGACAGCCTATTTTCAGCCTGTTCACAGTGTCCCTACCTTGGTTTGCTCCCTTGTGCCTCAATTTCTGGCAGCACTGAGTGCGTATCCCCTTGAATTCACATTACTGGGACTGTACTTTTTCTAAGGAGATGTGAGAGCCGACTGCCAAGGTCTTCAGTGTAGACTGCGTGGTTCCAATTCCCTGCAGAGCCTCCTCAGCTGGTGATGACCTTCCAGACCAGCCTGTAAATTCAAGCTGTGATCCTCATGTTGGATCTATTTATTGTCATAGGCAGCCTCGCTAGACACCGTGAAGGTCTCTGTGGGAGCAAGGGCATTAAGGTAGTCCTTAAGGGTCAGTAGTGGGCCAGTGGTGTTGGGAGCAGATGGCCATCCTTTTGATCAGCCAGAGAGGCCGTGCAGCTGTAGGCTGCTCCTGCGCTGGGGGCAAAACTGGAGCTAGACCTGAGGCTGTTTGGTAAGACCTCAGCAGTCAAAAGGCTTTGATTGAAGATCAGAGGTGAAGGAGCAAATGTCTCCTTAGGTGTCTGGGCAAATAGATGGGGGAGAGGAGGCTAAATTATTGAAAACAGGAGGAGGCTGTGCAGAAGGGATGGGATTTACCTAAATCTCAACCTGCTGAGACTCAGGCTCAATCGTGCCCACAGGAGATCCTTTAAACTGCAGAACAGGGAGAGTGGAGAATTGCAGAAGTGCTCTGTGCTCAGTGTGACGCATCTTCTGGGGATGAAAGCTTCCCAATTACAAGTGAGAGAGGACAGAAAAACAGACACAGCTTCCATGGGAAAGGGGGGAGAGAGGCTCATTTAAACAGGGTGTTGAAAGCTAGACCAAGTGTATAGAATCTAGACACATCCAACGACTAAGAAAAAGGAAGAGATGAAGACACCTTTTTGAGGTGCTGGTGGTGCCAGGGGCATGTCACTTCTGGTGGCATTACTGGGACAGTACAGAGGAGTGTGGGAAAGATGCTGATTGAGGGGTGAATTATTAGAAAAAACTTACATATTTTCTAAATTGACTCTAAATTTATTAATCTAGCCTGTATGGATTGAAATTGCTGGCTGAGAAAAGGCAAGTGTAGAGTAACGAGAGGGTGGTGGCAATGCCTGAGATCCTGCAGCAGAGATTAGAGGGGTGGAGAAAGCAGAAATGTGTTAATAACCTGAGACATCATTTATCCCTCTGTGTGACTGAATGAAAATGTCCCACCAGGGCACAATGCCGACCCTAAACCTGTAGCTTTGGTAAAAGAACGTGTCGTGAAGCAGTTGGTGACGAAGCCAGCGAGAGGAAAATCGAGCCTTGATTTTTCCCAGCCAGTGTATAAGCACTGCTGCTGAAGAGCCTCTCTGTGGTGGGGACCATCGTTTACCGAGGTGAAATGTCCTCATAGGAGCAGGAAATGATGGGTGGAAAATAAATAAAAAGCATAAATAATGGGTGGAAGAAGAGGAAACAAAGGTGGAAGCTCACACTGTGGTGGCAGAGACAGTCCTGCTGCCCCAAGGGAGTTCCTGGGTTGACCGTTGTGACTTGGGAACAGGACCTTGGAGTTACACTGCACAGCTCAGAGACCTAAAAAAATGCCAATTTAAGTGGTGGGGAACAAAAAAAAAAAAAGGACATTGCTGTGCACAGAGCAGAGGTGTGGTTCTGTGTGCAATTCCCGTGGTCTTCAGAGCTCTGGGAAATGGGAAAGCAGAAAGGGAAGGTGGAAGCTGCTGCTGGAAGTGTGCAGGAGCAGCAGTCAGAGGCAAGAAGCCCTCCCTGGAAAAAGGGGGAGCAGAAGGCAAGGCAGCAGAAATCTGCGGAAGCCCTTGTGGTGCAGAGAGGTTCAGCAGCACGTGGGAGTTGTGGCGTTGACAGAGACCATATTCCAGTGAGATGAGGCAGAATGATGGTTCCTCACCCCGCACTGCAGTGGTAGGGGATCCCCTGAGAGAAAAATCGCTGCTGGCTGGGAGATGGGGACCCTGCTTCCAGCTCTCTGGGGTCACAGGTTTAGCCCTCTTTTGGTCTAGGGGTGGCCTCATCCTGCCCTTCCACCCGGCGTTGTTGCAGCAGACCCATGGTGTGTGGGGCTGGCAGGTCTGCTCCCAGGCTGTGAGTCGCTCAGACACTTGTCTGTACCCGTGTCCCAACTTGGGGGGACCTCTCCAGAGTGCTCTGTGCTTGGGACAGGCCGGCGGGGGCGTGCTGGGATCGTGGTGACTTTGTTCCTCTCTTATTCCTGCCTTTTTCTCTCCCGTCTGTCTTGTCTGTCCGTCCGTTCGTCTGTCTGTTTCTCTGCAGGCGTTTCTTTGAGGGAGTCTCTCATTCTGGTTCCCAGACTGAGATCGGCAGTCTGCACAGCCAGAAAGGGCAGGATCAAGAGTCGGGCAGCCCTGTGAGTTACACCACCACCACCACCACCACCACCACCACCTCCTCCTCCTCTCGCCCCTTTCCCTCCCCAGCCAGCCCAGCCCATCCCCAGCTCCCTCTGAGACCACAGCTCCTGGCAGCACCTCCCCGGGGGCTGCTCCTTCCCTTCTTTCCACTTCTTTTTCCCAGTGCAGGCAGACAGGTAGCGATGGGGGGACATCCTCTGGGGCAGGTCCCAGGGAGGATGCCCGGGCTCCCCTGTGGGAGCGTGTGTGTTCTGTGAGGCCAGGCGTGGGTCACCGGCGGCTGCCCCATTCGGGGGGCTCCGTCCTGCTCTGACCCCAGCTCCTTGTCCCCCAGGGCGAGGCAGACAAGAGGAAATCGGGAGCGCTGCGACCCCAGGAAGAGCCGGGGGTGGAGGTCCCCACAGTGGTGAGTCCAGGCTACGGGATGTGGAGAGGAGCTGGAGGGACAAGTAGCTTGGGCTGGAGAGCCTCAAGAGTGAAAGGAGGGTTAGGGTCTGCAGGAGGTGCAGTCCAGCACCCTCAAAGCCCCTTGTAGCCTTGGCTCTCCAGCAAGGACGGCGGGCCTGTCCTGGATGGGGGCACCCATGGGTGCAGGGAGAGCGGCGCGTGCGACGTGACTGTGTGTGGCCCTCAGGAGCTGGTTGCAGAGGAGCCGTGTTCACGGCTGGCCCCCACAGAGGCTGCCACCAGGGAGGGCAGTGGGGACAGACTGGCCCAGCTGGGTCCCGGGACCAAAGCCGAGCTCCCCAGCGCTGTGTCCCCCAGGTAAGATGGGTCTGCTCCCCGTGGCCAGGGCTGACGGTGGCTCCCTGGAGCCGAGCGGGTGTCGGTGGAGAAGGGATTTCCTCACCAGTGTTGCCTCTCCTGCTTCTCGCTCACAGCAAGGCGGAGAGCAAACAGTTGTGGCGTCCCCGAAGCACCTCCGTGAAGGACCGGCAGAGCTCAAAGGGACAGGGTGGCCGTGCCAGCAGCCTGGACAGTGAGAGCTCTCCGGACTCGTGGCACAGCACCCAGGTGAGGCCCTGGAAGCCACCTCACCTTGGAGGCTTCTCACTCCAGAGTCCTGCTGAGCTGTGGGCAGAGCGGCCAAGGCAGCCGGCTGGGGTTAACCTTCATGGTGATGCTGTCCTAGGTGCCCCGAAAGTCTGTTTACGATCAGCTGAACCAGATCCTGGTCTCAGACGAGCAGCTCCCCGAGAGCATTGTGCTGGTGAACGTCGCTGAGTGGCAGGGCCAGGTGAGTAGGTGTGATGGGAGCTGGATGGAGGAGGGGAGCTGCAAGCAGGATCCCGGGGGATTCTCCCAACCATGGCAGGGTGTCCTAGGGGAACTGCCACCAGCTGTGCTGTCCTCCTCCCCCAACTTCTTTTGGGCATTTTGCCCAGTGCTGAGCTGCACACACAAGAGTCTGGTGTGTCTTCTCCATCACGTGCAACACCCTGGCATTGCTGAACCCTCAGAGCATGATGCCCTGAGGAGTTCCAGAAAGGCTGGTTAATGGATTGTACCTTGTGCCCTTGCTGCTTGGTCCTAGCTCCCAGTGACCACGCTGGTCAGGTCTTTGTTGGATGCCCTAGCAGAGGTGCCGGACTCCATCTGCTGGTAGCAGCACTAGGAGGCAGCAGAGGTGCCATTTCCTACTCAGAGATCACAGAATGATATGGGGATGGAAGGGACCTCTGGAGATCATCTTGTCCAAGCCCCTGCCAGAGTGAGTCCACCCAGAGCAGGTTGCACAGGAACGTGTCAGGCGGGGTTTGAATGTCTCCAGAGAAGGAGACTCCACCACCTCCCTGGGCAGCCTCTGCCAGGGCTCTGCCACCCTCAAAGGAAAGAAGCTCCTCCTCATGTTTAGGTGGAACTTCTTGTGTTCAAGTTGGTGCCCATTTCCTCTTGTCCTGAAAAAAGACTGAAGAGTCTTGCCCTGAAAAAAGACCAGCCCCGTCCTCTTGGCACCCTCCCTTTAAGTATTTATAAGCATTGATCAGATCCCCCCTCAGCCTTCTCTTCTCCAGACTAAAAAGCCCCAAGTCCCTCAGCCTCTCCTCGTAAGGGAGGTGCTCCAGGCCCCTCATCATCTCTGTAGCCCTCTGCTGTCCCCTCTCCAGCAGTTCCCTGTCCTTCTGGAACTGGGGAGCCCAGAACTGGTCCCAGTGCTCCAGATGGGGCCTCCCCAGGGCAGAGCAGAGGGGCAGGATGACCTCCCTCCACCTGCTGGTCCCACTCTTCCTGATGCCCCCCAGGATGCCATTGGCCTTCTTGGCCACAAGGCCACATGGGCATCCTATTGTTCACCAGGACTCCCAGGTCTTTCTCCTCAGAGCTGCTCTCCAGCAGGTCAGCCCCCAACCTGTCCTGGTGCAGGGGGTTATTTCTCCCCAGGTGCAGCACCCTACTCTTGCCCTTGTTGAAGTTCATCAGGTTCCTCTTTGCCCAACCTTTGCCCAGGTCTCGCTGTGTGGCAGAGCGTAGCCCGCTGCTCCCAGGGAGCATTAGCTGCATTGTCAGAGGAGGGCTGTCTGGGCAGGGAGGTATGTGAGGCCTTTCCTGCCTCATGTTGGTCACCACCGTGTGCATGTGAGGACGGGCCCAGCCTCTGCTGAGCACCCACCACCCCCATGCATGGAGGAGTTGACTGCTGAAGGTGAGCAGGGCTGTGTACGTGTGTGCAAACGTGAAAACAGCTCTGGTGAGACCCTCTTTGGGATCCTGCAACTACATCTGACATCCAGAAACAGTGCTGGAAAATCAGGGCAGGGTTTGTGGCAGAAGAAAGGGCTCTTTAGTGAGAAGCAGTAGGCTCTTGACCCAAGCCACACATCTTTGGGGTGTTCCTGCTCCAGCCCTTGTCCTGATGGGGGGGGAAAAAAGGAGCAACACCCATTCCCAGACCCTGTCATGGCATCTTCTAAGCCCCCTTATCTAGCACAGCTGCCTGTTTTACCACTCTTCAGCTGCACAGACACCTGAAGAGGCACCAGAAGGATTTTGGAGAGCCACAGTGGGAGAGAGCAAGAGAAGGGGATGAGCAGGGGGGAAATTGAGCCTAGAGCTGGGCCCTGTGGTGGGGTGGCAGGATTTGCTCCCCGGACCAAACCCTTTACCTCAAAGAGCATGAAACTTGGTTTTTGGGACAGTTTTGCCCTTGCCGTAGCAGGGTGGTGGTGGCTGCTGTGCTCACAGGTGGAGAGCAGGGGGTTAGGGCAGCCGGCCCCCCGGAGCAGAGCTGGGAGGAGGAGGAGGATGCTTGGGCGTGCAGCCAGGGGGTGACCTGATGGTTTCAGCCTCCCGACACATCATGGGTGGAAACAGGGGCCAGGGTGGGCATGGATGGGTGCTGCCCAGCATAGCCGTGCCCCCCCCAACCCCTCCCGGGGGTGGGGCATCTTAACCCAAGCTCTCTGAATTTGGCAGTACGTGAGCGAGCAGCTCCAGGCGCACAAGCAGTTGGTGGTCTCCACCTGCTCCGTGGCGGACATCCAGGCAGCCTTCAACACCACCGTCTCCCGCATCCAGCGATAGTGAGTACGGCCCGGTGGACTGCAGAGGAGGGCTCCTTGGGAACCTTTGGGATTGTGGACACAACCCTAGGAGCAGGGGAGAGTGGGGGATCCCGGTGCCGGTTGTGCCTGGCAAGCTGGAAATTGTCAGCAGTGGGTTTCTGATGCTTGGGTGGGCACATCCCCCGTCTGCTGAGCCACCTGTGTGTCCCTCACAGTCTCCTTTTTTTCTCTCCCTTTGGCAGCTGTAACTGTAACTCCCACATGCCTCCCCCGGTGAAGGTGGTGGTGGCGGGGGACCAGAGCTACCTGAGCGTTGTCCTCCGCTTCTTCGTGGAGCAGCTGGCCAGCAAGACGCCCGACTGGCTCAACTACCTTCGCTTCCTACTCGTGCCGTTGGGTGAGAGCCACGGGGAGCCCGGCCCCAAAGGGCTGTCCTCTCCCACCACCCCGGGCCAGGAGCTGACGTCCTCCTTCTCACCCACAGGCTCTCACCCTCTTGCCAAGTACCTGGCCTCGGTGGACAACAAATACAGCACCCTCTTCCTGGACACGGCGTGGCGGGAGCTGTTCAGCCGGGCTGAGCCACCCATTGCAGGTGAGGAGGAGCGGGGCGAGCCTCGGGGGAGGGCCAGCAGTGGCCTCAAAGTGGCCACCGAGGTCCTCACACGGCTCTCTGCGCCCCGCAGACACCGTGGACATCGCGGGCCGCGTCGCCCAGTTCATCGCTGGAGCCAGCCTCTCTCACCAGCTCCCCATCTCTGAGGCCATGCTGACCTACAAGCAGAAAAGGTGAGCGTGGCCCCGGGGGCGCCTGTCCTGCCCCGATCTGGGCTGTTTGCCCGGGACAGGGACAGTGGGAGATGGTAGAGGGTTGGGGGGGACAAGCGAGTGAGGCCCCCCGCTCGGCCGGCGAGCAGCGTGGTGCCAAGGGGAGCTGGGGTCCCACAGCCAGAGGCCGGTAGCGCCATCCCCTGCCACCCCCTGGAGCGCTCGGCCCCTCCAGCAGCTGTGGGGCTGCGATGGCCCCCAAGGTTGGGGACCGGCCACCAGGGCTGGGCTGGGCTGGGCTGGGTTGTGCTGCCCCCGGGGGTTGACGCTCGTGTTCCGGCTGCACTCTCACCTCTCCCTTCTCTTGGTTTCTGGCACCCAAGGAAGAGAAGTCTCTATTTTGATTTTTATATCAGGTATTGGCTTGTGCTTGCTGTGCCGCTGCCTGGCCCTCTCCCCCCTTCTCCCCATGTGCGTCCGTCCCTCTTGCCGTGCAGAGGAGCCGTGACACCCCC